GCGCGCCGCGCGGGCCGCCGGCGCCGCCGCTCCCGGTCGCGTCGCCGCGGTCGGTGTTGCTGCTGCTGGCCATGCTCGTGGCCGACCCGCGGTGCAGCGACGGCCGCGCCGACCCCGACCCCGTCGAGTTGACCGCCCCCGCAGCCGCCGCCGCCGCCGCCGCACCCGCGTCGCCGCTGCCGGCCTCCCTGGAGCCGCCGAAGCCTCCCTGCCGCGGCGGCAGGAACGGCGAGGCGAGGCCAGAGTCCGACGCACCGCCGCCGCCGCCGCCGCTGCCTATGCCCGCGGACGCGTTTGATGCGCGCGTCGGCGACCGCAGCGCCTCCGCCACCGCCGCCGCCGCGGCGGCGCCGGCGCCGCCGTTGAGCATCGAGGCGGCGAGCGCGGGCGGCAGCGCCAGCATCGCGGCAGCCGCGGCCATTTGCTGCTCTGCAGACGCGCCGTGGCCGCCGCCGCCGTGCTGCGCGCCGTGCGCCGGGGGCACGCCGCGCAGGAGCGCGGTGATGGCCTCCGTCATCGCCATGGACGGTGCACTTGGGGTGCTGCGCATGCGGGGGCGCAAAACAGGGAGGGGTGGACGTCACGCAGGGCTTACGGCTTCGCCCATGCCTCGCCAAGGACCAAGTGTGAGGTGAAGGACAGACGACGGCTGGCAGCTGCAGCCGCCGACGGCCCCCGGCGAATCGAACCGCGGCCCCACCTCGGCCCCGTGGCGCCGCTGCCTGCCGCACCGGCAACCCTCACAGCCCGCGTCAGGGCCGCCCGCCCGCTTGCAGGCTTGTAACGGGTTCCTCCTCTTCCTCGGCCCGCAAGCAGACCTGTGCAAATGACCCCAAACAAAAGCACGGCCCTCACCTGGGCAGCTTGATCCCCGCCTCCTGCGCCATCGCCCTGATCGCGCCCTGCCCGGTCAGCTTCACGCTGCCGCCGGCTGCGGAAGACAGCAGGAAGCTGGGGCCCGTCGCCATCGCGGCGAGGCTGAAGCGATGGGCCTGCAGCGAGACCGCGCGCGGCTGCCACACGCCGACGGACGCGTCCCCGCGGGGGGGCACCCTGATGTCAGGGTTGAGCTTCTGGAGGGTGATCTGGGGGTTAGGGTTGAGGGTTGAGGGGTT